CCGGCGCGCCCGCGCCCCGCTCGCGAGGGGGCAGCCGCGGCCCCGCTTGGCCCGGGGCGTCCGTGCCGCCGCCGCGGGGCCGGCTCGGGGACAGGCGCTTACCCGGCGGCCGGGCCCAGGCCGTGCGGCTCGGAGGGAAGCGGGAGGCCGACGGTTGAGGCCGCGAAAATAAAAACGCGGGGGGAGGGGGCGAGGGGCCGGCACTGGCGCTCGCGGACGCGCACCTTCGTGGGCGCGCAGGTGAGCCGGGCCCGCACCCGCACCCGCACCCGCACCCGCACCCGCACCCGCGGCTCCCGGTGGGAACCCCCTGGAGGAAGCGCTGCCACCTGCTCCGTTAGCGCCGGGCGGGAGCAGAGTCTGTCTACGCCCCCGCCTTTCGTTCACTGCAGCCCTGGGACCATGCTCAGTCGCTTCCCTTCCCCACCCCCCGGAAATTTTAAGGAAATACCCTACTTTTCAATGAAACGCCCCTCTTTTTCATGTACCAGGGCTGTGCAGTAAGCATATAGTGCGAGTCACAAAGGCAAGTCACTTAGGAAATTACACGTTTTCTGGAAGCCACATGAAAGGAGTAAGAAGAAACGGGTGGAATGAATTTTAATGTATTTAACCCGCTATCTCCAAAATGGTATTTCAACATGAAATCAATGTAAAATATGAATGAGATGTTTTCTTTTTTTCATGCTAATCAAAATCCAATGTGTATTTTACACTTTCTGCATATCTCAGTTGTGATTAGGCATGCTACGTGATCGATAGCTGCATGTGGCTAGTGGCTACCGGGTTGCACAGAAAATTTCTGTAGACATCATGTGTAAATTAGTGTTTTTGTCAGGCCTGACAGTGCCAAAGTCAAGTAAGGATGAATATTTGTAATGAAAAGGAGGAAAAAATTATTTCTTTGTTAGATTGCAACATCTCACCAAATTGAGTGTAGCCCTGTATTCTAAGCAGGGCTTAATGTTTCTCAATCTTGTCATCTTGAGAATCATTTTAATTAGGAACAAAAACTCATATTAACCTTTTTCTCTTCTTGCTAATACAGAAAACATTCACATCTTCACCTCAATGATTGAGAAAAATGGCCCTAATGAGGGCAATCATGAGTAAATGATTTATGCTGTTGATGGTTAGTAAAATTAATGAAGTCAGGGAAGAAAGCTAGCAAGTGTGGTTTCTTGGTGTGAGAAAGAATGTAGGATTCAAGGTAAGCCCGAGTATTAATGCTTGTGTGATCTTGGGTAAGTTAGGGATTTAATGTCTGAGCCTCAGTTTCCTCAGCTATAAAATAAGCATGTTGTAGCATCAAGCATATATTAAAGGCAAGACAAGATTACAATATAAAAATTAGATGAGTTAATGCTCATAACATTAAAATCCATCCTTTAATGTAGCTGTCAGTCACTTTTTTTTAAAAAAAACTTCATTGTTGAGATTATTATAGATGTCCTTCTTTTTCTCCCCATTGTCCTCCTCCACCCGGTTCCTGCCCTGCCCCAGGCCTTCGACACCTTATTGTCTATGTCCATAGGTAATGCATATATGTATATATACAGATAAGGTCTTTGTTTAATCTCTTTCCCCTCCATCCCTCTTCCCTGAGAATCGTCAGTCCATTCCATTTCCATGCCTCTGATTCTATTTTATTCACCAGTTTATTCTGTTCATTAGATTTCTTATTTTGATTTTTAGATTCAATTGCTGATAGGTATGTGTTTGTTGCCATTTTGTTGTTCATATTTTTATCTTTTTCTTCTTCCTCTTCTTAAAGAATACCCTTCAACATTCCATATAATACTGGTTTGGTGGTGATGAACTCCTTTAGCTTTTTCTTGTCCATGAAGCTCTTTATCTGACCTTCAGTTCTAAATGATAGCTTTGCTGGGTGAAGTAATCTTGGTTGTAGGTCCTTGCTATTCATCACTTTGACAATTTCTTGCCACTCCCTTCTGGCCTGCATAGTTTCTGTTGAGTAATCAGTTGACAGTCGTATGGGCATTCCCTTGTAGGTAACTAACTGTTTTCTCTTGCTGCTTTTAAGATTCTTTGTCTTTAGCCCTTGGCATTTTAATTATGATGTGTCTTGGTGTGGTCCTCTTTGGTGTCCTCTTGTTTGGGACTCTCTGTGCTTCCTGGACTTGTAAGTCTATTTCTTTCACCAGGTGGGGGAAGTTTTCTGTCATTATTTTTCAAGTAGGTTTTCAATATCTTGCTCTCTCTCTTCTTCTGGCACCCCCATAATGTAATTATTGGTACACTTGTAGTTGTCCCAGAGGCTCCTTACACTATCTTCATATTTTTTTTTTATAATTTGTATAAGAGTTTATTTGAACAGAACTGACAACATATGCTGGGGAACAAGATCTCAAATTATCTTCATATTTTTGGATTCTTATTTCTTTTTGCTCTTCTGGTTGGGTGTTGTTTTTTTGCTTCCTCATATTTCAAATCATTGATTTGATTCTTAGAATCCTCTACTCTACTGTTGAATTCCTGTATATTATTCTTTATTTTAGTCAATGTATGCTTAATTTCTGACTGTTCCTTTTCCATTTTTTTTTGGAGGTTTCTAGAAGACTCTTGAGTAGCCTTATAACTGTGGTTTTGAACTCTATATCCAGTAGTTTGCTTTCTTCCATTTCTTTCATTTGTGACATGTTTCTTTGTCTCTGCATTTTGGCTGCTTCCCGCTGTCTGTTTCTATGTATTGGGTAGAGCTGCTATGTCTCCTTGAGTTGGTAGAGTGGCCTTGTGTAGTAGGTATTTTATAGGGCCCAGTGGCTCAGCCTCCCCAGTCATCTGAGCTTGGAGCTCTAGGTGCATCCCTTTAGGGACTGTGAACATAGTCTTGTTGTAGTTGAGCCTTGATTGTTGTTGGTGTCACTGGGAGGAATTGTTCTCCAAGCCAGTTGGCTGTGAGGACCAGCTGCAACTACAGTGGTAGAGCTGCCATACAAGAGACATCCTTATGGAGCAGGACTTGCTTCAGTGGGCTTTGGTGCTCATTGAGTCAGCCGCTTGAGTATGTCACTTATGGATGTGTAGAGTTGTAATCTGGTATGGTCTGACACTGACCACTGGGGTCTCCAGGAAGGTGCAAAGTCAGCCACTGCCTGGGGCCACCCAACAGGAGCTCCAGAAAGATTTGCAGATTCCTCCTCTTTGTATCAGGATTGGAAGTGCCCAGATGAGGCCCAGCTTTGAAGCAAGGCTGGCTGGTGCTGGTGCCGGGTCTTGGGCCTTTTATTGATAGGTTTGGGGCTCCCTTACCCAGCTGCAGCTTGTTTGAGAGATTTACCCTCAGCAAGGAAAGGCCATTCATATGCAAAAGCCACTGCACACAGCTTGGGTGGGATTGCAAATTGGATGAGGCGGGGTCTTAGGGAATCAATCACCAGGGCGGAGCAAACAAATGGCTGTCAGTCAGCTCTGCGACCGGGGAGGTCCCAGCATAGAAACAATGATCCCTGCGAGCTACCTCTGTCTAGGAGAAAGCTGACCCCAAGTTCCTGCCTTGATGCCAGACAATCCAGTTCCTCCTCATATGGGTCTGTGTCCCCCAACGCCTTGCCCTGGTGCTGGAGCTCAGAGGAAGCAGGACCTTGTAAGTTCAGTTTGTGTGCTGGTCTTTTAAGAGGAACAGCCGGTTTTCCAGCAGCCTCTGTGTCACTGAGCCCCAATCCGCACTGGTTTTTACAGCCCATAGTTCTTACTGCCTGCAGGGACTTCTTTTCCCAGCTCTGGGACCCTGCGCTGGGCTTCTGGTGTGGTGCTGGGACCCCTTGCTCCTCCGCAGAGATGATCTCCCCCCCAATTAAAAAAGCGGCCCATGTGGGTGCCGGACCATCCTGTTCCACGCCCTGCACCTCCTACCAGTCTCAGTGTGCTTTCTTCTTTACTTCTCTAGTTGTAGGACTTCCATTCAGCCAGCTTTCCAGCGGTTCTGGATGATGGTTGTTCTGTATTTTAGTTGTAGTTTTGAGGTGGTTGTGGGAGGCAGTGAGTACA